GCTTGCCGGGCACTCCAAGAGGGACAGAGGAATCAAACCCAGGTCAGCCTTATGCAAGGCAAAGACCCTACCCGCTGTGCTATCGCTTCAGCCAAGTTTCTAAGTATGTATAAATGTAATTCATTATTATAGTAAATGTCAATAACAATCAGAAGGGAAAATGTGGAATTACTAAATTTTCATGAATAGGAAGCTAGAAAATAACCCAAGAAAAACAGCAAAGAATTAATGATCTTTATGCTCTTATTATGTCATTCTAAAATAGAATTTCTTAAGAACAGTGTTGACTCATCCTCAGAAATAATGGCAAATCTGTCTTGACCTTGATTCACTGTCATGATCAGAAAAATTCTAGTTTACCTTGGAAGACTGAAAAAGCTAAAGTTAATACTTAAAATGGTTAAGTTTTCAAAAATCTGTGAAGCTAGACTTTCGTTTTAGCGTTCAAAATGGTCACCAAATAAACAAAAGAAATACTGAGTTATACATTAAAATTACCTTCACTTACAAATCCTGCCCTGATTCTCAGTCTTCCACCAGGTTACATTAGGCATATACATTTTTGGGATAAACTTTGCAACTCAAATTCACACCTCTTGAAAGTCATTTCCTCCCTCCCTATCATTTTGTTGTTGTTATTTTGTTTTCTTTTATTTTGGTTTTTGGCCACATCCAGCTAAACTCAGGGCCTTCTCCTGGCCCTGCACTCCAGGATCACTCTGGGAGAGGGCTTAAGGCTGGGGGGGAGGGGCAGAATGTTGGTTGCTGAGCATCAAACCTGGAGTAGACACATGCAAGGCAAGTGCCCTACTTGCTATATTATCTCTCCAGCCCCTGTCCTTGCTTTTTAAATAAAAGTTACCAAGCACCTGCTCTAAACCCTATTCTAGCTAAACCAGACAAAGAATAAAGAAGGAAACAGACGTCTCCTGATCTAATGTAGGTAAAGTTCAGTGGGGAGTCTCACTGTGATGATCAGTTTTAGGCCAATTTCACTGCAACACATGGTGTTCAGTTAAAACATTTTATTTCCATGTGTGTAAGAAAGTTTTTCAATGGGATTAGCATGTGAATTGATGGTCTGAGTAAAGCCATCAGATAGTCCTCCTTAATGTGGGTGAGAATCATCCAATCCCTTGTGGGCATAAACATTATAAAAAAAAAAAGCTGGAGAAAAAGGGAATTTGCATTCTCTCTCAGAGCTGAGACATCAGACTAACCTCGACTGACTTGCATCATTAATCACGTAGTTTTTCTGGCTTTATTTTTTTTTAACCACATCCAGGGATCCTCAGGGCTGATTTCTGGCTCTGCCTGCAGGGATCATTCTTAGCAGGGCCCAAGGACACTACTGGGTGCCGGGAATCAAACCAGGGTCAGCCACATCCAAGGTAAACTGCCCTACCTGTTATATTATCGCCCTAGTCCCAAGCACTCCAGTTCTTAACATTTTCATCAGCTTTCCTATGTCTCAGGCTTAGAGATGGCAGATAGTGGGACTTCTCAATGTCCATAATCACATGAGCCAAATCTTAATAATGGATCATCCATTTCTCCTATTGTTTCTTTAGAAAACACTGTTCTCTAAAATATAAAAATATAAAAGCCACATTAACCACTGGATTATACCACATGATGTGCAGTGTAAAAAACCTAGAATACTCCAAGAGTAGGAAAGAGAGAAAATAATTTTTCATTTTTATGTAACCATAAATTCTTACAAGATTCTCTAAATCTTAGGCTCTTTTAATCATATTTTTTATCCTCTAAGAAAATATCAAAAGATATAAAGCTGAAGACTAGTTCCTCTAGGTTCTGAAATTATAGCTTATTTTGTATTTCAACTTATTTTTAGTTGACAAAGAGAAAGCTACAGACAAAGGAGTACAATAAAATTAAATCCAAAAACTCATTGTAAGAAAACACGAAAATGTTACGAAATATGGTCATGATAGAATGTCTTCTAGAACCAAATCCTTTTAGGGGCCAGAAAGATAGCCAATGGGCAAGGAACTTGCCCTGCCTGTGGCTCACACAGGTTCAATTCCTGGCACCCCACGTGGTTCCCTAAACTAACCAGAAGTTATCAGTGAGTACAGCTGAGTGTGGCCTTAAACACCAAAATAGAAATAGTAGTAGTAATAGTAGTAGTAGCAGTAGTAATACAAATTCTTTTAAGTTCAGCAAAATCATTCCTTTTTTTTTATTGAATCACCGTGAGATACAGTTATAAAGCTTTCATGTTTGAGTATCAGTGATACAATAATCGAACACCCATCCCTCCACCAGTGCACATTTGCCACCACCAATGTCCCTCATATACCCCCCTATCTCAACCCTTCCCCTGCCTCTATGGCAGACAAAGAAAAAATCATTCTTAATACTTCACCAGTTCACTGATTTTCCCCTAAATGTGCCATGTATCATGCAATAACTGATCTCTTTTGACCCAATCATTTCTGTTTCTATTACTGCTAAATTTTAATGTTTGGCCAAGTTTGCAAATATGTAGCAATGGAGAAGTATTGCTTTAAGTGAAAACAGTTACATAATTTCAGCCTAAATTCAAAGCCCTTATGCCACCTCCCAACACTGCTCTCCTTCCCTCCATATAGCTTAGAGAGAAAAAAATTTTAAATGTTTAATATTCATGCTAATATATATAGTTTTTTTGCTTTTTGGGTCACACCCGGCGATGCACAGGGGTTATTCCTGGCTCATGCACTCAGGAATTACTCCTGGCTGTGCTCAGGAGACCATATGGGATGCTGGGAATCGAACCCAGGTCGGCTGCATGCAAGGCAAACACCCTACCCGCTGTGCTATCGCTCCAGCCCCTCATGCTAATATTTTTTAAAATTATTTTAAAATTAAGATATTAACACTACTGAATTCTAAAACACCAAAGAACAATTTTTCATCATGCATGACAGGGTCAGAAGTGAAGAGATTCAAAAGGTAATGTGGTAAGGTTTGCTTATTACTGGGTTCCCTGTTGTTAGTGTCACAATGATAATGACTAAGGAGTGAGGTGTCTGCAAATCCTCTGTTCTTCTGTTCAAACATTAAAGCAGCAATAAAAGAGCTTTGCAAGTTCACAAGGTGCTGATGCAACTGAAAACGATGGGTAAGACCAAGATCCACAGGGAATTCACTGGTCCAGTGTCAGCTGTATATGCAACAATCAGAACTGTGCTTCTTGAATTTCCTGTTCCACATAAAAGGAGGAATGAAGAGCACTGAATAAATTGTATAAACATCACTGCTTATACTTATGTGGAGTTTTTTCAATTTTATTTTACTTCACTCATACCTACTTCTCATGACTTCTTCCAGCAGACATACATAGTCTGTTAAGAATAATATCAGAAAGTGCTATGTATGCATTAATTTGTGTAGGAACTCAACATATATTCAATAAAGGCAAGAACCATTGCAGTAGAATGGCCCACATGTCAAGGTTATCTAACAGCCAGTAGAACAAATGTGTAAAGCCTTTTCCTATGCATATATTTATTGTTCTAAATATTATTCTATATTTATATCAATAATAAATGATAACTTAGAATTCATTACGCTAGAGCTAACAGAATGAGCAGAATATAATATTCTGTGAGGGAAAACAGTAAAAAGATCACTCCATGTTTCAAATTTATATTTTTTAAAAAAACAAAAATGCCTTTTATTCAAGGAACACAAATAGATAAATACTTTACATAATATGATTTTGATATAAGTGTTCCCTATATATCTATCCATAAAAAAAATTACAGAAAGATAATTTCCTGGTATTTTATTTCAACCCCAAATCTAGATGTAAACAAAGTACTTACCAAAATGAGATTCTATTGTGTGAGATTCAGAGATCATTTCTATTCTGGTGCTTTTTTATGTAAGATAAGAAGAATTAACAGAACAAAAAGACAGATTTTAAGACTCAATGCAAAAGAAAAATTATTTCATAAAGAGCAAAGGAAATAGTAAAGCTTTATTTTATGACATGGATAATTATCATTTAACGAATGTAATAATTATCCAAAAGTAATCAAGTTAATTGCATTAGTCTTTTTTCTTTGCATTGGACTTCATTTTTCCACTATATCTAAATTTGTATTGCTAATCCAGTGAGTACAGAGAGATGTAAATGCCAAGGTTCTTACTAAACTGTTTTAACTGTTCTCTGCAACCACAACTACACCCACGTACCTACATCAGGGAAGGTTAAAAGAAAAATATATGAATATGTTATAACAAAAAAGAAAATGAAAATTAAACATGTCTTTGAATGTTTACCAAGGCATAACCATTTGAAATAAACATAAAAATTACTACTTTTCATATGTGAACTATCTAGAGGAACCCTGCAGTTTGCCATTTTAAACTTGCTTTTGAGAGTATAAATAAGGGCAATGAGGACCCTAGGTAGTGTTATAAACTTCCCTGTTGCCATTTAATTTATTCATTTACTGGGAAAGTAGGATTCCCCATTCCCCCCCCCCAGAAGACTTTGGGACCACACCAGGCAGTGCTGGAGGCACTGTGCTATGCCAGATATCAAATCCAAGTCTCCCACACGTAAGCATGTACTGAACCCATTGAGCTATCTCTGTGGCTAGAAAGTAGGATCTGTTAGTGGGCATGATGAATGAGGTCAGCTCAGAGGCTACTGTGAGTCCAGTGCTTACTATTTGTTTGCGAAGGAAGCCACAATTAGGGATATATTTGATACAAGCCAGCTGGTATTATATGCATTTTGGTCTTTATATCCTCCAATTCATCCACATTATGCTGAGAAAAGCCCCACATAACATATTAGAGATGTGAGTCTTCTGGGTGCTACAGGACTTAAATTTGCCCCTTGAGACGGACTCAGTCACATGGTCTTTGTTCTACAGACAGACACATCAGCATTGAATTTCAAAGGTATCCTGCACACGTATCTGGAGCCTAAGAGTGAGGACAGCATAGGACATAAATGGACAGAAAAGTTCACTGGAAAGGGCTGTCTCCAAGGTACTTTAGGGCAAGCCATATAAGCAAGGAACAGGATGCAGACACAAAGATAAGAGACTGCTATCTGCAGCCAACACCCACTAGTCAACTACCACTTTAAAAGCCAAGCCAAGAAATCTGAAGCAACAGAAGACCAAATGCCATTAGCCATGTCTTTCAAGCTCATAGATGAAACCAAAACCAAACAGTTGATGATGCCTACACTAACTTGAAGCAAAGAAAAGCACCGGTCTTAATGCTAAGGGTAGAGAGATGGTGGAAAATAATTTCTCCAACAGATCTGTATCACACAAACTGGCCCTTTAACTTTAAAAAACAGAATAGGACTATCATTTTAAATGTGAGAATTTTCATGAATTAGGTATGTATAAGTAGAAGGTTCAAGTTAGTAGCAGAAGCAAAATTATTTCCCCACTGCAGAAACCCACCTTCACCCCAGGCTTGAAAGAAAATATTTGACTATAGACTAAGTTCTAAAGATAAAAATTCCTAGTCAAAAAGCACAAATATCAAAAGAATTAAAACATTTTGAGCCGGTGCCGAGGCTGAGAACTCCGACATATTTTTTAGAGTGGAGTGGGCAGCCTCCCGCAAGCCTTGAGGAAGCCCTGGCAGCCGCAGCAGTCACCAAGGCAACTCTGGCCCAGGCCACAGATCCTGAAGTGTCTGTCTGAACTGCATGGCCGCATCTGCTGTGTGACTCTTTCTAAGGCAGCAAACTACTCAATACAATTTTTTTTTTCTATCTCGGATTTTTATTTTATTTTTTTTATTAGTGAAACACTATGAGGTACAGTTGTAGACTTACAAATTTTTGTGCTTGGGTTTCAGTTATACAATGATTGAGTACCCATCCCTCCACCAGTGCCCATTCTTCACCATCACCAATCCCAATCAATAAATTCTTAAACAAGGACTTAACAACCCTGCAATCAGATACAACAATGTTCACAAAAATGGATTTTCTAAATCTAGTGATTTTAATATTGCAATTTTGTTATCTAATCAATTTTAATTCTAGAACTGCATCAACAGTTGTGGCTTTCTCCTACATTAAAAGAAATGTTTTAAAAATTCAAATCCTCCAACTACAGAATATAAGATCCCTGAGCACCACAGAATCCAAGCAGCACAGCATTTCGGGGCCCCAACATTGAACTGTTCAGTTCCTTTGAACCGAAGTCACAATAGTGACTCCTACATCCTGATCATTATCAAATTAAAATAAGGAACTTTTCTCAATTTCAGTTAAAAAAAGATGAATGATAAAAGAGATAAAACAAAGAGAGTAAAGACAGGAGGTCCAACAAACATGCAGCTAGGTAATTATAAAATTAATGCAGAAGAGAAAAATTATTTCTAGGGAAAAAAAAGAAAATATAAATTTTCAGAAATTCTTAAAGATGCTAACCTGCAAATGCATCCTGTCTAATGCAATGCAGGAGTTTTAAAAAGTTTACGTTCAGTAACACTAAACTGAATATTCAGAAACTACTATTCAGAGTGGGAAGAAGGGAAAGAGAGATGGCAAAGAGTCAAGGTAAAGGAGAGAGAGAAGGTAGAGGAAGGGGTGTGAAGAAGGGAGAGAATATCAAGAATATAAACATTTTTAGGAGGTTGAAAATAACTAAATATCTTTAAAAGAGCTTAAAAGGATCAGTGGGAAAGTTTAGTTGCTACCACAAAAGAAATTAGCTTGATGACTTAATTCTCAATGAAAACATTAATATTTAGAAGGCAATGAAATATTTTTATGTGCTTTAAGAAAATAAAATGTCAAAACATAATTAAATATTCATATAATTTTTCTTTTAAGAAAAAAAGTACTCTCATACACAAACCAAACCCAAAAACCAATCTCTTTCTCTCTCTCTCTCTTTCTCTCTCTCTCTCTCTTTCTCCCTCTGTCTCATTCTTCAATGAAGGAAAAGTAAAGAGCCCCCGGTTATGTCTAACACACAAAACTGAATAATTAGTTAAATAATACATTGAAAAATATATGGTGACAAGGATGCTCTAAAAGTTGTATCAAACTCATAAGAGGAATAAAATGAGAGATACAGTACTCAGTGACAAAAGTTGGAAGTGGGTATCACAAGAGGTAAAAAAAATAAATTTCAAAAGTATAGCCTTAAATTTCTAATGAGGTAAATATGCATAAGAACCCATGAAAAAAACCTGCCTATTTAAATAGACTTGACAGACATTTGCTAAGTCCCAAAGCAGCACAACTTATACTTTTTTTCCCAAGTAGACACAACTATTTCAAGGATAGTCTCCAAAAACCAGAATATCATATTAAATATCTAAAATACTTAACATTAATAATCTTATGAAGGAAATCACATCATGTATTAAAGTTGGGTGGTAAACATATTACCAAGGTTAAAGCACTTGCCTAGCATGTAGCCGCCCCACGTTCTGTGCCCAGTAATGTATATGGTCCCCTGAGCACCACCAGGAATAACCTCTGCTCTCAGAGCACTGCCAAAATCACTGTCACTGTCCTCCCGTTGTTCATCGGTTTGCTCGAGTGGGCCCAGTTACATTATGAGACATGTTATTAGTGTGTTTGGCATATCAGATACATCATCGATAGCTTGCCAGGCTTTGCTGTGCAGGTGAGATACTTTCAGTAGCTTGCCAGGCTCTCCGAGAGGGGCAGAGAAATCGAACTCAGGTCGTCAAGGGCGGCCACGGGCAAGGCAAACAACCTACTCAAAAGAAAAACTAAAAAAAGCAATACAAAAGGTCACTGATACTAATATCCTATTTTTCAAAATAAATAAATAAATGAGTCTTAAAATAAACTTATATGAAAAGAAAGAACATCCCAATAAACAGGATCAGAAAAAGAGGAGAAATTACAACAGATCACAGAAATACAAGATTATAAGAGTCTGTTATAAACAACTAAACTAACAAGTTTGGAAGAGATGATTTTTTTTTATAAACGCCACTTGTCAAGAGTGAAATAAAAAGAAATAGAGAACCGATTTAGATTAACCAAACCCAAGACCAAAATTTAAATTTTATAATCAACACATCATTACACATATACACATACACACACAGACAAAAGTGTCACATCACATTTCTTTACCAATAAATTTTATTAAGCCTTTAAGATATAACTTAAGAATGTTTTCAGACTCTTCAAAGAAAAGAATCAAAGTATGTTTCCAAATATATTTTATAAGATAATATTATTACCCTACTACAAAAGCAGACTAGTATATCATGAAAAAGATAAACAATATACCTGATGAACTAGATGTAAAACTACTCAACAGAATAGCAGCAAATAATAATAAATAAAATCAACAATGCATCAAATATGTCATGACCAAGTGAATTTTATTCCAGACATGAAAAGATGATTTATACAAATCAATATAAGGCATTTTACAATAAAAGCAAAGGGAAAAATCATGACAATATCCATCAATAAAGAAAAAATATTTGACAAGATCTGGCACCCACTTATGATTTTTAAAAAACTCAATGAGGATAGATGAGACATATCTCAAAAAATAAAGGTCACATACTATAAATCCACAGCTAATGTCAAAAAACTAAAAGCTTGTTCTTAAAAGTCAGGAGCAAGAACAGGACTGGAGAGATATTAACAGCAGGTAATGTGTTTGTCATACATATGGTTGACCTGGGCTTCATCCTGGTACCTCATATGATCCCCTGAGCCCTGCCAAGAGTGATCTCTGAGAGCATAGCAAGGAATAATCCCTGAGTCAGGTGTAACCAGAAAAAGAGTAATTTTTTTAAATGTCAGGAGCAATATAAGACTGTTTACTATAATATTTTTAGCAAACTTTGCATTAGAGGTCTTAACTAACACAATTGGGCTGGAGCGATAGCACAGCGGGTAGAGCATCTCCCCTGCACGCAGCTGACCAGGGTTCGATTTCTCTACCCCTCTCGGAGAGCCCAGCAAGCTACTGAGAGTATCTCGCCCGCATGGCAAAGCCTGGCAAGCTACCCGTGTCGTATTCAATATGCCAAAGACAGTAACAAGAAGTCTCACAATTTGTTGTGAGACGTTACTGGTGCACACTCAAGCAAACCGATGAACAACAGGAGGACAGTGACAGTGACAGTGAACTAAAGCAATTACAATATCTAGTTTATAGAACTACAGAACTGGGATTACTTAGAGCAGGGCGTTGGGGGATGACCCTGAGACAATGGTGGAAGGGAGTGGATACAATCCGATGGAAAAAAGAAACATACTTGTAACGTTACCTGACTTCAAACTATACTAAAAAGTAACCGCATTTAATAAAGTATAGTATACAAACAAACACTGTCCCCGCCATTGTTCATTGATTTGTTTGAGCGGGCCCAGTAACAGTTGTAGGTAAATGTGTAGGTTTACTTCTAGAATTTGAGACTTGTTGCTGTATTTGGCATATTGAATACATCACCGGTAGCTTGCCAGGCTTAGCCGAAGCGGGCGAGATACTCTCAGTACCTTGCCGGGCTCTCCGAGAGGGGTGGAGGAATAGAATCTGGCTCGACCAGGCTGGCTGCGCTGGCTGGCTGCGCACAAGGCAAATGCCCTACCACTGTGCTATCGCTCCAGCCCATAGTATATATTGCTCCAGCATAGTATAGGAATAAAAAAACAGACTCATAGACCAATGGAATATCAATAAGATACTAAAATTAGCTCCACACATTTATTTAATAATGCATAATTACTGACCAAGGATAAGAATGCCATATAATAGAGAAAGGAGTCTCTTCAAGAAGTGCTTTTAAGGAAATTGGAAAGTCACGTGCAAAAGAAAGAGATATACTGTTTAACCTAATAATTGAAAATAAACAAAATAAATATAAGACCCAAATCAGCAATACACATAAAAAAAACAATAAAAGTAAAGGTTTCATAATATTAGCATTTGAGATGTCTGGGGACTCAACTAATCAGCAAGCAAAATAGAAGAAAACTAAACACTTGGGCCTACATTAAGTGTAAAAGTTAGGTATAGCAAAACAAAATATAGTGAAAAAGTGACCTACTAAATTGGAAACAATAATTACACATCATACACCTAAGAGATTAATAAGCACATACATTAAAATTGTTACAAAAATGCTTCGTTAAA